TAAATTTGCATTTTGGCTCAGAGCACTGGATGTGAATATGAAATAAATCATCGTTTGCAGTTGTCATTCATTGCTTCAGTCACAGATTGACTTTGGAGCACATAAACTAGATCCCTTTTGGATCTGAAGGTCCATTTTAAGTGGACATCAAAAGCACAGGCTCCTTCTGAAAGGCAGAAGTTGTGATGAACATGTATGGTTGCTATATAGTGCTAGAAGTTCAAACCCACATATATTCCAAATGGAGTGTCATACAGATGAACTGCTTTTGATCTGCTGATCCACTGCCATTACACTAAGCTGTAGAGGTACCTGATGTAATAGCTAAGACAGACATAACTGTAAATTTTCATAAGGATGCTAGCATGTTTCTTCAGTGAAAGCAGAAAACCAGATTAACTGTGTTCCATTTTAAAGATTTATTTCTGAGGTGAAATCTAATTATAACTATATTTCTGGAATATGGGCTGTGTCTGGCTTTTGATATTTTGCTTGCTGGGATGTAGTAGGTCTTGTGGTTGGTGTACTTGGTACTGCCTGAGAGTTAATACTGTGGCATTATATGCCTTTAATGCCTTTTCCTTGAGTACAGGATGAGAAAAAAATATCTCTTAGAAAAGTTTCAGTGAGTAGTTTGTCCTCACAGTACATAGACAGTGGGGTGGAAATGTCGATGAAGCACTTGTTGAACTTTCGTGTTACAGTCTATTATTATCCATAAGAGCATTTTTCTCTGTGCATTGTTCCCTATGAAACTGACTACTGGTGGCACACAGCACAGGAAAAGGCAAAATTCCCAGTGCATGACTTTTTTTTTTTATCATTTCAGTTAAGCAGTTAACATTTTTATGTTTTTGTCTGATGTCTCAGAAGACAGCCCTAGAATAAGAACTTAGTTTGCCCTTACTAYATAATAAAAGAAGGATATATTCATATATTTTCCTGGTTCTATTCTATTTCCTTTGCCCTGAAATAAAGAAAATGGAGAATATCAAGTCCTCAGTAAGCATTTTCGAAAATCAGAATAAGCTCCAATTACACAGACCTAGTGACAGCTTCTCATGTGTGATGGAGGCAGGAAGGAATATTGTTAGAGCATGCTGCAGTTCATTAGATTTTAGCTGCTAGATGATCCCTGGAGCCTGGTTATCTGACTTAGAAACATCTAGATTATTGCAACATGAGCCAGGAACTAGAAGAGAATGACAGCCATAAATACTTCCATGTTGGCCCCATCTTTAGCTCCTATCAAAAATTCAGCATGAGAGTTAATGGTAAATTTGGTAGTTTCTTAAGTTTTGAAGTTCTATTTGCCATGAAATGTTTTTCTGTAGGGGCAAAAATTGCTTTAGCTTTGTCACCAGAGAAAATGAAAACATGATTATTATATAATTTAATTCCAAAGAAAAGATATTCAAAGGTACTCTTAATGAAACTATGAGTACTGTTATACATAAACAGACAGGTCCTCCAAATTGGTTGCAAGAACAAATTTGATGGTGTTATTCTCTCTCTGATGGAGCAGACCCAGGTAGTAAATCATTATTGGCTGCCTAATGGGAACATCCTACTGTGAAAATAAACAGCTGTCCACAATGAAGAAATTATTTACAAGAAACCATTACATGTTACATTTAGCCACTTCAGAAAGAAAGGAAGGCATGAAATACTGAGCAGTTGGATGTTTTTTTCTGGGCTGTTCATTTTAAAAAATTGTATGGCTTCTTTTTTCAAAGTTTTGTTTTTAGACTCTATAAATACGATCTTTTTTTTTTTTTTATTGCCACTTCATTTTGCTTTGAAAGAAAGACTGTAACTACTCTTTTCTGAGATTGCTGCATTTTGTGTATGTTGCTGAATTGATTATGGTTGTATTCACACACTGAAGCTGGAGAATTTTTTCTCAGCTCTGTCTAGTGGGGCATGTAACAGCCCTGTTCCCCCTCTTGTATGCCTTCCAATAAATTTTCCATCCAAGAATGTCACTCCCAACCAGTCCAGTGCCACTCGGGTGGGACTGCATGTAGGACCAAAACCTAGCCTTCAATGAGGTACTGTTGAACAGGGTCAACAAGAAGTCTTTCCTATGCAAAGACCAAAATCCTGCTGATATAACTTGTCTCTTCTGTTACCCTCTTCTGCATATTTAAAGTGTGGTTAAGAGGAGCTGAGGTGACTCTAGAGAGGGCTTTGAAACAGAATAAACTGGTGAGCAGAAAACTGCATTTGTTACCATCAGCATCGATCTGCATTTCTTACAATCTGTCCTTTGAGTGATCCATCTTTGAGATAGTTCTGCATCTGCAAGACTCCCTGAGATTTCGCTTGCAAGGCTTTCATGTGCTAAATAGCTCAAGGGCAGTTGCACTAAGCACAGCCACAGAGGCTCACAGGAAAGTAGTGACAGAAAGGCACTGCTGAAGTGCAGAGGAGTTTGTGTTCTTCATAGCTTTAGCTGTTTGTCAGAGACAATGTTTTTGTTTGTTTCTCACACCAGTGAGCAAATAAGTGCTCTAAGTACAATTAGCTGGATTCACATGGAACATTTCTCACTCTAGAATTTATTTCTTACCTTCCTATACGGTGCCTGTATTCCCTCATTTTTTGACTGTAGTATAATCCCTTGTTTGGTGTCTCCCCAAACACGGTGCATGCTTCTCTTAGGGCAGCTTTGTGATTCCTCAGTAATGGAGGTTCGTTGATTATTTTCTGTCTGTCCATAGAGTGAAAGAAGATGCTGTTTCATATTTTAGAGCAAAAGAGSCTGGAACTTTCAGCTCATTTAAGGTGTTACTAACACTTATATCAAGCCTTGATCCTCACTATGAGATTTTCAGAGTATGGCAAGGCTTTAGAGGTGTCTCTTCTTGTCAAATCCCTATGCCTCCTTTGATGAGCTGGGCTTTCAAATCACGGGATACTCATTTACATGGTGCATATGAACAGTTTTAAAGTTGGACACCCAGTCAGACAGAAAAGAATAAGAGAGACTTGAAGCTTTCTGAAATGGCATCAAAATTCTTCCCTGTCAGTTATGGTATTGTTAGAATTCATTTGCAGTTCCTTTCTAAGGCTGTGTAAAAATTGTTCTGATCCATTGTATTACCACGTATTTGTTACTTTCTAAAATAAATTACTTCAGATCCAAGCATTCTGGGCACAGTTGTGATGATTCAGGAAGAGCTCATCTGTGTGGTAAGACTGCATGCTGAAGGGATTGGCAATTTCAATGAGATACTTTTAAAAAAAGTTGGGCTTTTCTGTTTCTGTGACAGGTAGGGTTTACTCTCTCAGGTAACATTTGAGATTATCTACAGGATGTCTCCATTTTGGATGTCTGCCATTTGAAGTTTTGTATACACTTTCATTAAGTGTTGTACCAGTATTGCCAAAACATTCCAGCCTGATATTTGTTTTAGAAGAATAATGTATCGGTCTGTATTTGATCAGAAACATAAAGATCTCATCTAGTTACACAGTATTTCTGCAGGAGGTATATCCTAGAATCRCCCATGTTCTGAAGTTAAGTTGGAAAGGCCATAAAGTTTACATTCCTGAAACTATTCCTCTTTTACSTATGTTATCTCTATTAATGTAACTGGGTATTTCCTTCCCTTCCATATCTCTGTTACACTTCCAAGAATTCTTTCAGGTCGCTAGGACTGAAAGAGAACTTTGATCATGGCTTTCACAGAGGCATTTGTGATTTGTGCAGACAGAGGAGCTTATGTGTGTATCTGCAGAAGTTGGTCAAGCAAAAATTCTCCACCTTGAGAGAGCTGCTTTTGCCTGCTGGTGTTTGGGTTTTTCTGGAGTGGATTTGTCCACAGAGTGGAAGCACATACTGGAGAACCACCACAATCACAAATAAATTTGCTTTCTTCCRTTAGCAAGCTGAACTATTTAGGCTGTCAGTTGAGGCCCACAGAGATGAGATTTGACATCATTGACTAATGCATAGCTGCAGGTGCAACAGCACATTTAGAAGCATGGAGCCCATCTTTGTGACTCACAAAGGAAGGTGCTCAGTAAATTCACAGACGCTGCAATAACCACCATAATCATGCACAGGCAATGGCACTTTCCCCAAAATCTGAACTAAAGCATTTCTTTACTGATACAATTCTAAAGGCATGAAGTAAAGTGGAGTTCTTGGCCTTCTGCTAAGTCATTCCAGGGATTGGTTGCTATCACAGCTGAGAACCTATTTCACAGTCCTCTGTAGCCTCCAAATTGATTTTCACTAATTTTACATTGATCACACAGTATTAAAAACATGTAGAGAAGGCAAGAAGATATTTTAAGTCTTTTTAATGGTTCTTTGCAGTGCCATGAAATGGTAAGAGCAAAATATGTCCAAAGAGCAGTTTCCCACATACATGCAGATGTGCAGGTATTTTTAAGCCAGCTGTAGGTTATCTAGCTGAGATACATTTGGAAAAAAAGCCCCTGCAGTGCAAAGCTCTGTGGAGGATGCAAGTTTTACCTGAGAAACTGAGCATATTTTCATGTAATTAGTCCTTGCTGGTCAGTTRTGCTGATCATAACATTAAGGAAAGCTGTCAGTGATGGTTCTTAGCATGTTCTAAGTTAGTATGTGTTTGTATAACATGTAGAACTGGGGCATATGGGGATAGGATTTTCCAGGATGAGCTAGAASTTGCATTATAAATCTCCCTTTCAAGACACCCCCATTATAGTCATAATACTTGGATTCACAGTCAGTAATTCAAGGTAAAGAAAGTAAAATATTAGTGCTTGGTTTCCACCTCATTATGATTAGATATTGAGAGAATGCTGTAACTTGCCTTACCATAGAATGAATGTATGGACTGACAAAATAAGTGTAGATATGCAATATACTCCTTAACAAATATTTTTAAATTATATTAGGTTTTGTAAGTTTAAACAGTTTTCTCAGTAGCCTTCTGTTTTCAAAATTCTTTTTTCAAATATATGAAGTATTTGTAACTTCACATAAATGTTATTTTTATTCACAGATAATGCACCTCAGGTAGCAATTACCGCACCAGGATCTGGTAACCATAGAAACAGCTCTACAGGCCCAACACCTGACTGCTCTCCTCCATCACCAGACACTGCACTTAAAAACATAGTGAAAGTTATACGTCCTCAGGTAGGTGCTCACCATAAGAATCCTCTTATTGTATTTTTTGCTTTTATAGCAAGCTACAATGCAAGTATTCTAAGAGGATGGTATGGACTTATGCATTTGAGTAGGTCAAAGACATAAACAGAACACAGAATACTTTTTGTGCTTAAGAATTATTCTTAGTAGCAGAAGAAGATAAAACATTTTATGAATAAGCCCAAATGTACAGAGAGCTATCAGTAACACTATAAGACTAAAGATGAATGAAGTCCTTATGCAGTATTTTGTATTTTTCCGTACCACTGGTTTTCTTTCAAGGTTGTGTTCTGWTTTTATCAGCATTAATTCCATATTACTTTTTCAGGTGTACTTTTTTCTTTTTGCATCTATATTTACATGAAATTATAATGTTTCATACCTTCTTTGGTTTACCTTCCCATATACTRTTGCTTATGAACTTTCATCCTTCCTAACTATCCATGTTTCTAATACTGTTTGGGAAACAAGATGCATAATGTGTGTAAAACATGAGTGCTCCTTATAATTCTTTAAGGAGTGCAGCTCTTTAAAATCAGAACTTTAAAATAAATACGTCTTAGAACTTGATTCAGTAGTATAAAGGTAATCAGTGTAGAGAAGTTTATTTTAGAATCGTGGGATCATGGGGTAACCTAAGTCAGAAGAAGACAGAAGTCACCTTGGGATAATCTAGTTCCTTGTTTAAAAAGCTGTGACATTAGGTGTGCTGAAGCTAGMTGGGACAACTGCATGCTTAATTGACCAATTGTGAAACTCTTTTAGTGTGAACCAAAAGAACTTCAATTCCTCTCCTATTAATTTAGGGTTCAAGTACAGCCATCTGTTCTTTATTGCTGAGTTGATCTCTGCAACTGACCCCCTCTGATGCTAGTGGATGCAGGCTTTATATCATCTGTATGTCACTGGCATTTGTTTTCCTTGAGGAGTAAGCTGATGGATACAGCATATTTTCCTGGGAGTTGTACAGGACAGGCTGTTTTGGTGGCACACAAGTGAGTGTGTTATAGTGTATCTTCCTTTCAGTGCTCATAGGAGCAAACACTTCAGAAGGCCTTGCAGAATTAAAGGTAATTACTGGGTGCTCTTGCCATTTCTGTCCAGGAGCCATTGGCTTCCTGTGGCTGGTGATGTCACTGCACAATAAATTTGAGGGCCTAGCTGGTGCAGACCCTCTCTCTCCAACACCAGTGTAGTTCAGGTTCCACATGCTGGTTTAAATCTAGATTGCAGGGGGTCTAAAATAACAGTTTCTTTTCCTTTTTTTCTTTTTATAGTTGTTTCTGATTTTGCTTGTTTCTGTAGCGTCTCTGTCCCTCCCACCCTACATCAGTCTATAGTACTGAAATGCTTCCTTCCCTCTAAACTGTTTTTTATAGTAGGCGGCAAACAAACAGTAAGGTAACGAAATATTATTGAAACAAGCTGTTATGTGATAGCTTATTGAAAATAGCATTTAAAAAGCTGTCTCCATCATCATATTGCCAACAGATGGACCCAGAACACTGAATGGTGATGTTCTCCTGCWAGTTAACTCTGAACGGATTCAGCAGATTCAGGGAAGCTATTTTCAAATTTAAATCATACCRTTTACTGACTCACAGTGTTCTCATCGTTCTGCAGAACAAAAGCTAGCTCTGTGATATATATGGACAGAACTTTACCACATTTCCTAAAATGTCTCTCATGTGGCCCTACATATGGCATGCTCCCTCTATAGAAAACAACAGCAGACAGGCATAATGTATATTGAAAGTCTGCGTGCTAATACACGAGAAATTGGTTATGCTATAGCATTCAGATCCTGTTATGCTTCTCCTTTCTCCATATGTTTTATGCACATCCCCCAGTATTCTTTTTTCCTTTGTTTTTGTTGTTTATCTAATCACCTTCCCCTAAGATCTCAACCCAAGAATTTAGACAAAGAAGTTGTAGATATTTGCAATGTGCTGTTTGCTAACCATTAGTGTTAATTCTGCCTGCATATTTAATTCCTTTGTTCCATTCAATTACATGGCAAGCTCTTTGAAGGGCTGCACAATGGGATTCTATTCCTGACTGACCTCTCACCACTCATGTAAAACTAATGAATACTGTTACACAATGTATGCAAAATAATTAATTTTCTGTTGGCWGCCAGGGCCTCTTTCCATTTTTCTAGCAAAATAAATTGATTTTGAAGAGATCTAAACCAGGGATCATATAAATTTCCAAAACAGCTGTCAGTTCTTTCCCTTTTTCATATCTTGTACATCCAGCATGGGAAAGTGCCAATGAAAGGCAGAATGGCAAAATCTTCAGCAGCCGCTTTGCATGAGGCAGGCTTTGGCAGCTTGGATAGAACTGCCAGGGAAGTCTGGCCTTTCAATTCATATAGTTATTTTATTTTATACCCTTACTTATCTTTGCTGTAGGGTTGAACATATAATGATTTAGCCACGGTGAGGAGAAACACTGTGTTTCTGTGCAACCAGGATGAGAGGACATGGAGAAGTTTAGATTGGACATAAAGTGAAATTTTTTTCACCAAAAGGGTGGTTAAATGCTGGAATGGATCACACCTGGTAGAGTGACCATCCCTGRAGGTGTTTGAGAAAAGACTGGATGTAGCACTTAGTGCAATGGGCTACTTTACATGGTGGTGTCCAGTCAGAGATAGGGCTCAGTCATCTCAGATGTCTTTTCCAACTTAATTCTGAGATTCTGTGAACCAGCAGCTGAGATGACCAAAGATTTCTTCCTCCCACCAGTCAGGTGTGGACAGGCGAAGTGGGGAAAAGGACAATCCTGAAGTTTGAAGGCAGAGAGGGAGCCTCATTCTACCTGCTCTTTGACCTTTCCTAAGCACATGTGCCAGCTCACATCGTGGCTGTGTGTATATCCATGCTTCAGCACATGACAGACTTTGGAGATGCTGCAATGAGTGTGAGATTTGGCACAGTGCAGTGATTTCTTCTCACAGACCAAGTGTGTCTCTGGGGGATTCCAGCAGCTGCTTCATGGGGACCTTGAAGAGGAGGGTGTGCACTGCTGCACTGGCAGCTCAAAGGGTGAAAGTACCACAGCTGGGAAGTGTGAGCCAGAAACAATTTCATGTGCAAAGTGTGAATCCTGATGAGCCTGGATCATGGAAGTTAAGGGATTCCTCAGAGACTCAAAACTTGTTTTGTCTTTTTCCTTCTAGTTCTCTCTTAACCTGTTCCTAATTATTCCCCTTCTTATATGAAAAAACTTACTATCCCAACACCTGGCTGGGAATTTCTATTTTCCCCCAACTTTTCACTCACTGAGCCCTGTTTCATCCACAGTGAGGAGAGGACTGTTCCAGGTTTTGCCACTGTTGCCTGAGCAGCCATGTGGACTTTTTTTTTTCTTTTGTTTCTTTTTCCCGGGRACAGGAGCCGCCATCTTTTTTCTCCGCACCAGGTGGTCGAGCGGCTGGGGAGGGAGGGGGCAGCGTGCGTTCCTGGACTTTTAAATATCTAACAGTTACTTTTTATCTGWGTCCTGTGGGCGCTGTGTTTTGTTAATAAACTACTTTTCTTTTCTCTTCATTTTTGCCCGAACATCTATTTCATATTGGTGGGAAAAAATTATCACATTTTTTCACTTCAGAGGAAACATTTACTCTGTAACATTTTTTTCTCTGAAAGCATTGTCTCAAACCAAGAAAGGCTTGTACCTGTGATCTAGTATTTTGCAAATAAATTCCTTGTTTTCAAATTTTCTCATGGTCAGTCTCTGAAAAAGGTTTTTTGAAAGTTACATATATGCAGAAAAGAAGTAAACAGAACTTACCTCCGGTTTGGAATTGCTTGATATTTTTTTTCTGATTGTCCAGATGAGACTAAGTTTTTAACTCATGAATTGCTACTTAATGAAGACTTTGAGAAAGTAGTACCTTTCAAATGAAAGGCATATGCCTCTGTCTATACTAAAGGCACATGGGCTCCAAAATAAGATGTGGTAGGAGAACAAATAGATAAATCTCCTTCAAGTTTTAACTTAGTTACATTACTACATATAGTAAAATATAACGTACSTAATGAGACTATTTTAGAAAGTGATAGCAAATCTGTGCTTGTTCTATCAGAGTTCCTGTAGCTCTCAGTCTAGATGAAGCCTGAAAAAATTGAATTGCTTGTGATGCTTYATGAGTATTAGCTCCTCAATTTAATAAACTTCTCCTTATTTATTTATTCAGGTCCATTTGAACAAATAAACTATATCCACAGAGGAAGAAAGAGCACCTTTTTTCCTATGAAAGYGTTTGTTTTGCCAGTGTTACTTGTTTGTGGGTGTTGGGTCAGTTCTCATAAAACTGAATTCTGACTTCCCAATTATTTATTAAATGTAGTCCAGTATTTGCATGTTGTCTTCTTGTCTTTTTAAGATATGTTTCAAATAGCTTGCTGTAGGTACAGCTTTTGATGTCTAAATATGGGTTATTTAAAAGTGGCTTTGATTTTATCTATCATGAATTAGTATTTTCCCTATCTTATGTGAATAACCTAATTTCCTAGAAGTGTTTTAAYGCTATAAAGAGGGTTTCCAGTAGGAGGACAAAGGAACAAAGAATTTCAGTGTTYCTGACATGATGAAATTTCATAATCTTGTTCTTTCTTGGTTTATTGCTAAGATCTGCAATAATCCATCATAATACCATTCTTTTTCTTATCGATATGGATGTCCTGTCTTTACAGGAATCACAACTTTTTTTCCCATTTATCTTTTTTTAACCTCTATAAACGAAGTTGAACGTATAGCTCCTCATTCATCTGGCTAAGAAATCTATCAGTATAATAACAGCTAATAGTTTAAACATTAGTGGGAAAATGAAACTGTCTCCTTTTCCTGCAAGTTCTAACAGAATCCTCCAGAACATTTGTAGTCTCTGATAGGCCTACCTCACTTGTTTGGGCTACCAGGCATGCCAACTATTTTTGCATGGACAGTGAACCTGTCAAACTTACTTATGTATGGTTCAT